AAGACATTGTGGAAAGTGCTGCTGTGTCACAAACTGATGTTTTCTTTGCTAAGGTCAGTATCTGTTTCCAAAAGATCCTGAACATTATTTTGCTACTAGGAAGAATAGGTCGTGAGTGCCTACACGTGTGGCATTTTTACGGTTCTGATCTGAAGTTGAGGAGAAGTAGCTGCAGAGCCCTCTCATCTGAGGGCTTGCCACAAGGCAGGTCAGTTTGACACTTTTAAAGCTTGGTTTTGGCTATATCTTATTCTTCATTTTACAGGCTTTATATTTGATAGCAACTAATGGCACACCAGAACTCCAGAACCCAGAGAAACTGTCCCCAATATTCCGGGATTTCTTGAACCGATGTTTGGAGATGGATGTGGAGAAAAGAGGATCAGCCAAAGAATTGCTACAGGTGAGAGTCCACTTCTTCTCACAGTGAGGTCCAGAAGGCAGAGTCAGGTCATGACTCCTGTAATGAACCACTCCATAGACTTGACACCCTTTCTTCTTTTTTTTTTTTTTGTCCAGAAGGCAGAGTCAGGTCATGACGCCTGTAATGAACCACTCCATAGACTGACACCCTTACTTCTTTTTTTTTTTTGTGTTTTCTCCTGGGAATTGTAGTGAGAGCAGTTGGTAGGAAAGATATATAATATACTCCAAAGTTGTTCCATCATAACCTGTGATTTCACTCTGCCACTGCCAAAGTGTCCAGTAGTTTAGGAACTCCTTTCAGAGGGTGGCCAGTGATAGCATTTGCATTGCTTTTCATATTTCTGCTGGTCTGACATCAGTGTTCAAACCTTGAAAAGAAAAGTTTCCTTTCTCCCTGCTGGGTTTTGCCCTACGAGCTGAGCAGCTGGAGCAGTGACACCACTTCTCCTTTTAGTTTTGATTTTAAATACTTTCTGTGCACTGGAGAAAGGCTGGTTTGTTAAAGGAGATCTGCTTGTAGGCAGCATTGTGAAGGTGTGGGAGAATCTCTGATGCCATTCCTGGGGAGAGCAAGGAGTAGCTCTCAGGCAGATGGTGTAGAGGCTTTCCCAGTAAAGCCAGCTGCTACTTCTTGCCTTTCTCTGATTATTTCTTGTTTAGATCTTTGTTTTGCTCATTGCAAGTGCAGCTTCAATACTCGCCTTTTCCAAAACCAGGAGAAACTCCATTGGGCAAGGCAGTGTGACTCCAGCCAGCTTGGGATCGTTTTGTCCTTGTAGCCATCAGGAGAAACACGTGACACAAGTCAGCAGTTAAAATGCAGATTCTTTGCTTCCTAGCTCCATGGAAACATGAATCCTGCTGGAAATCAAACCTTTAAAAGTGTGTCTTTCACTGATTCCTCGTGTTTCTGTCTTCCTGGCAGCATCCTTTCTTGAAACTGGCCAAACCTCTGTCCAGCTTGACGCCACTGATCCTGGCAGCCAAAGAAGCAATGAAGAGTAACCGCTAACATCCTGCCACAGCCTTCTTCCTTTTTTGTTTGTTTGTATTTTACAAATCTTTATAATATATGAAATTGTTACACTTCGGGGGGGAGGGAAGGGGTTTTTGTGGGGGTGGGAAACGTCTGCAAAAGGGAAGAAACTCTCATCCAGAAGATACCCAAATACATTGTGGCAACTCTAGAGATCCCTGTCTGGGGTCCAGAAGGAATTGAGGGCTGAATTACTGGCCTTTGTGGGGTTTTTTTATTCTGATTTTTGTTTCCCAGACAGCCCAGAAATACCACTTGCTGTGCCCGGGGCTTTAAGGGGTTTTAACGACTTCGCTGTAACAGCTCCCGTTGTACCCTCTGGGTACTTTCAATACTTGAATGACAGATTCAAGCTTTCAGAGAGCAGTACTAATTTTACCTGCTGATCTCTTTGACTCTCCTCTTCCTCCCCTCTACCTGCAATCCCTGTGGGAAGCTCCCAGTGACCAGATTCACGGCAGGTGTGGCGAATGTGAAGGTACATCTTGCCCCTCATTTCTGTTTTGGATTAGCTGTCGCTGTACTGTAGAATCAACAACTCGGTTACTTAAGGAATCATAATGTATGGAGATTCTTTTCACTTTTTAAGATGAAAAAGGAGAGAGAGAGGGGGAAGAGAAGTATTCAGCTGTTTCTCATACTTGTGCTCTGTGGACTTTTTTTTAAATCAAAAATGTGGCCTCTTTGTAGAACCGTAATGATCGGTCAAGTCTTTGGATGTGGGTTATGGATGTGTAGGTTGGGGTCAGATACTTTATTTATGATCAAATGATCAGTTCTAGTCAGGGCAAGAAAAAATTCCAGCTGTCTTCCTGTCTGCTCTTTTTTTCCCTTGTTAGACTTGCTGGCCAGAAGCTTGAGGGATAATGTGCTTGGTGCAGTGGGTGGTTCATAAACTTGTATCTGTGCTCTGACTTGGGCTTTGGAAGTTATGCTGGTGCCTTTGACTTTTTTTATTTTACATTTCCCTTCTTTGTATCAAATACATTTTTGTATATGTTGTAATTTCCCCCCTCCTCCCCCCGCCAAGCAAATAATGCATCAACCTATGGAGTTGTCAGAGTTTAAAGTATTAGAGCTATTTTTTCCAGTTTTGTATGTGCTCCATTTGTACTAATGAAACCAGAAGAACAAATAACCAGATCTGAGGACGCTGACGATACAGGATTTTGGAAATTATGATGAACACCTGGAGATGCCAAAGTTGTGAGATGAAGCAGAGGGGAAGAAGTGCTGTCAGACCATCGTGGGGCCTGTTGGACTGGCTGGTGTCACTCTGATCCTTGTCCTGAGGATTCTGTGCTAGCCAGGATGGCTGCAGCCAACCCTTCAACACAACAAAAAGTGCCTCTTCCTGAAGGACAGCGACAGCCTGAGCGGTTGAGTTCTTGGGGTGTTGCCAGGGTTGAGTTTAGCAGAGCCTCTGCCCCTTCTAATGCTACAGTCTATGCATTTCAACATCCCCAAGTGTTTAAGGAAGAGCCAAGTAGTACCAATGTGCCAAATGAGTCTGTGAAAGAATAGCCATGACTTTAGTGGGATTGTATTGCATTCCCAGTGGGGCAGGGCCTGGGACAGACAGAGCTATGGTTGGGTGTGGACAGAGGACCCTGAATAAAAATTTTGCACACTTTTCCAAACATTGCTGGCAGGAGATAGAAGTGATTTTCAGAGACTTTCAGTATCTCTATAGAGAGAATGACATTTTGGGGACTGGTAGCCAAGGTATGACAAAACAAACTTCCAGGTGAGAGCGGCCGGGCAGGATGGCAGAGGCAGTTTGGGGGGGATGGTGGAGGGGAGCAGGGCTGGGGTCTCACAGCTCCTGGGCTCCTGTGGGGCCAGCAGGATGCATTGGTGGGCAGGTTCAGCTTGTGTTCTGCTCCTGTGTGGTAGTTAAAATCTCTGTTGGGTTAATTATCTTAACTGTTCCTTACAGGGATAAATCTCTCTTGCTGTAAGTGTGACAACAGTTATGGCTTTAAATTTTAAATTCAAGGAAGTGTCTCATGCCAGGTAAGGTAATCCAAGTGCATTTGTCTGGAAAAAAAGCTTATTATGAGCCATGGACACTGTAATCACCCTGTTTTGAGTGTGTCCTGGCTCCCTGGTCAAATGGAGCAATGAGGAGGCTTGGCTGAGGGAAAAACCTGTTGTACCATTGGTTCCCTCTTTGTCCATTGCTGGCAATGGACTTGGTGAAACTCCTTGTGCCAGAGTTAAAGTGGGAGCTTTTCTTTCTTTCATCTTTTTTTTTTCCTTTAATGGCACAATCTAGATAAATTTAGCTTTTTTAAATAGAAAACAAGAAATCATAAGTAATTTTAACTTATTAGTTCACTTTTACTGGTGAATGAGAACGGTTTAAAACATATGTTGCAAAATTTGTCCAATTTAGCCTGCTTAGGAGACAATTTCTGAAGATTCAGCCATCCTAATGCACAAAACTTGGCCCAATCCCAAGTTCCCAAATTGTGTGTGACCTGGGACGGTGTTCAGCTCCAAGCATCTCCCTGGCCCCACGCAGCAGCTGTTCTGTGGTGAGGTATCCATGGGGATCAGAGGTGGGGCTGGCAGGAGAGGAGAGCCAGGAGAAGGTTTTTGTGCTGTGCTTTTGTGTCTGGAGGGTCAGGCATCGCTTTTCTGAGGGTGTCTGCGAGGTGGGAAGCTCCAAGGCGTGGGTTTTCCCTGGTGGGAGCAGAGCAGAGCCCTTGCGTGGGTGCAGGGCTGACAGCTCTGCTGTGGCACTGGGGCAAGCGGAGACCAGCCAGAGCTGGAGGAAATGATGGGAAGGGATGAGTTGCATCCAGATGTGGGGATTCCTGTGCATCCCTCTTGGGTGCCCACCCAAGATCCTGAGCGGGGATCAGACGTGCACACGATCCCTGTGAAGTGTCAGCTGGGCAGCTTGTGGCTGAGGTGCAGGGAGTGTGAGATTCCTGGGATGTTATCATAGAACAAACCAGAGTTCTTATTAAAAATAACCATGGGAATGAGCACTTTGCCCTGCCTTAGGTGTTAGTGAGACTAATTGGAGCCTTCCCCCCTGGCTCTCTGTGCAGGGAGGTGAAAAGGTTTGGCTACAGCAGATGGGTCCCGTTGTCAGAGGGGCTGGGGAGGGAGCAAAGATAATGTGATTAGGGGTCTCTCCAGCTGGAATTGAGTCAATAAATCTCTCTGGTCTGTTTTTCCCTCTGTTCCTTATGCTGTTGATGGGAATGGAAGTAGGTGCAAGCTTTCTTTTTATTTTTTTAACTGTCTTCAGATGTTAATGTTGCCTTTTGTGTAATTTAATCCCACTATGTTATTTAATTGTTACTGCAATATTAACTACTGTATTTGTTGACTTCGTTTAATAACTGTCTTTCAGGGCTAGAAATAAACTTTTAAAAAACCTTTGGGGCTTTTTCCCCCCTTTTCCCTGTCATGAGTTTATACCTTTGATAACAAGAGTATCTGAAAGGGTTAATGTGTCAGTGTTTTACTGAGATTAACAGAATTTATTTGTAATTAAGCTTCTTATGAATGCTTTAATATGATGGTGGATATAATTTTGTGCTATACCAGCCTTTTTCTTTAAAGTTTTATTACTTATCAGTGTCTGTACCAGCCTTGGGATCCCCACGAGCTTTGCTGTGTGTGCCTCCCAGAAAAACTCCGGATCGCTGATGGGAGGAGAGCAGCTCCAAAACACCCTTTTTACCCACTGTGGAAGAGATCCTTTGCCCTCCATGTGGAGGGAGCAGAGCAAACACCAGCCTGGCCCATCCCAGCTGCACCTTCCCCCTCCGCTGGCCAGTGCTGGGGTGGGACTGATGGGCCCGTAACCTCTGGAGATATGGTGATGATTCAGGAGCTGCTCCCAAGAGCTCTGCTTTGTTGCACCTTGGGCACCATCCACTGTCCTGCTTACAAACATTATGGCACAGGATCCATGGGAATGGAGCTGTCCTGCTGGCTGCTGGGAAGATTTGGCTCCTGGTTTGCTCCGCCGCCGATCGGTGTTGGACCATGGGAGTGAGGGCACCGGGTGCTGACAGCTCTTCGAGGACTTGGGATGAGATCCATGGTTCCTCTTGGCCTCCAAGGCTGCAGAGAGCCACTTTTGTTTTCCACTGGACCTACAAAAAGGCTGTGGGATGTTTGCCTGCCAGTCCAGCCAAGGACAAGGAGGGATTTGCTTTGGGGTTGAGCCCGGGTCAGTTGGCTCTGGATGAAGTTCCTGCCTCGGTTGTGAATGGTGAGGACTTGGCATGGCCTGTGTTCCCCGTGTGTTGCTGGGAAATGGGCTCTTCCCCTTTCTTGCATGTTGTACAAGCTTTGGTGGTACACTGACAAAAGGAAATGAAGAAACCACTCATCTCCAGCAGCTGCTTCACCCAGACATGAGAATGTTGGTTTGCTCAGAGCCTGTCTCTTCAGGGTTATCAGTTTGTTGTAGTGCCTTTGTCTTCCTATACGATCCACTCTTTGTGCATTTAAACTGGTGTTCTTTAACACTGCATTTAAGTGATTTGGCATTTAATTTCTGGGGGGAAAAGTGGACAGGAGGAGAAGATGCTTAGTGGAACTCAGGACTGTTAGGATTTTGGTACTTGAAGGAGAGCAGGCCTTTGGCTGATTTTGGCTTGCAGGGCTGAAAGTTGCAAGTCCTTGGTAAATCCTCCTAAGTCTTGTGTGAACTTGCTCATCCCTTGCACTGAGCCTGAGACTTGGACCTGCCTGAGACTAAACCCAAGAGCAGCCCCATTTTTTGAGATCAGCCTATTCAAGATTGGGTATTTAAAACATTGTTCTTGCAGGCAGTAAATTTGGGGGCAGCAATTCCTCCCTTTCAGGGCTGCTGTTCAGCTGCAGTGAGTTACTGCAGAGCTGAGTACAACTGTTTGGACTGCAGCAGGAGCACGCTGGTTAAAACCAGGGTGGGTGAAAAGTGAGGATCCTCCTTAGCAGCATTTTCATGGTGGTGCCTGAAGAGCATTGCTGGCTTTCAGTGCAGTTCCAGTGTTCCTGTGCTGGAGCACTGTGCTATCCATAGATCTCTGCTCCTAGGGATTTGTACAGCTGCATTTTTTCCCCTTTTTAAATATAACTTGCATTTTGCTCTCAAGATTATTTTTAATAAAACCAGCTGTCCTCAGTCATGTGAGAAAGCAACATGTAAGTTTGCTGAGCTCAGCCAAACTCTGGCTGTTGCTCCCCAGATGTGTGGAGGAAGCAGGTTCTCTAAGAGCTGTTTGCCCTGCTTTGAATCCAGCTTAAGGACAGGTTTCTTTTCCTTGAAGGAGGGAGTACCACCAAGTGAGAGCAATGACTTTGTGACTTCTCTGCCTGCAGGCTGTTAGGAGGGAGCAGGGCAGCACCAACACAGCTTGTCTTGCTTTTCCCAGCTGGTGTGTGCAGTGGGAATGTCCACCAGCACATCATCACTTCAAATCACAGATCAGTAAGGCTGGAAAAGACCTTTAGGATCATCAAATCAAATCCATCAGGATTTCAAATCCCCGTTGGCCTGAGTGTTAAAGCAGGCCATAGGGACCAGTGGTTTGAGTTTTCTAATGGGATTTTCCCAGTGGGAAGTTAGGAGTTGCTCATTCTCTTTCAGGGCTCCCAGACTTCTGCTTTGGAGCTGTGTAGAGTCAGTGCAGAGGAGGGAAGAGCAGACAGGCTGTGTCAAGGCATGGATGTGTCTCAGTGCACGGGGTCCATGTCCTGGTGTTCCCTGGAGGGCTCGTGGGCAGTGAATCCAGCTTGGAGCAGCTGTGGATCAACACTGAGGACACTGACAGGACTCAGGGCAGCTCCTTGGAATGGTCTGGAGGGAAGATGTGTCCTCACCATGTGCAGGGCTGACCTTCCTCAGGAGTGATTCTTCTGGGATTCCTTGAGCTTTCTAGAGCCAAGGGTGGCCCATCTTTGTTATTTTTTCCTCTCAGTGAACGCTTGTTCTAAGGATTTGGGTTCTTTCACAAAGCACAATTAACTCTTGGATCCCCTGGAGCCCTTTTCCTGCCTGACCATGAAGGGAAACCTGTCCCAGGTTCCTGCTGCCTTGTCACAGCTGCTCCTGGAAAGCTCTAATCCACCCTCTGCCCAGTGAAACTTCCCTTAAATAACCTTATAACTCTTTTTTTTTCTGTAGCTGTTGCCTCTTTGAGGGCAAAAACAACAAGGGAGCCAGGGTGGGTCTGCTCAGCTCTTGTGACCCTTCAGTGTTTTTGGGGAATGTTTATTTTGCTGAAATGTGGAAGTGCCAACTTGTTCCTGTCCAGTCCTTAAAATCTGCATTTTAAGCCCTGAAAGCATGTTTGGTTTGGAAGGACACTGATGTTCCAGCTACAGTAAAGGGGTTTTTGGTGGGAATATTGGAATTTTTCTTTAGTTTTGTTCCTAGAAGAGCAGCCCTGCAAAGCTGCATGGAGTCTGCTATCAGCACTAACACAAATGAGGGAGTGAGCTCCTGGCCTTGTTTAATCCCATAGTTATCCTTGGAATCAACAGCTCCCAGCTCCTCTCTCCACCCTGGGTTAAACATCCCACAACTGTGCCATGGGCAGAATTTTAAGCAATGGGTGGGAAATAGTTTTTAAACCTTGGAATGTTTATTTCCTAAGGCCCAACTCTTACAATGGTTAAGAAGAAGGGGAAAATCCATTTCTGGGGGAAGGAAGAGATGTTGGAATTTCTTTCCCAGTTTTACCAGTCTGTGTCCTGTGATCTGGTGGTTCTCTTTCAGGGACTGGATTTGAGCTGTTTGCTGGGTCCTTGTGAGGTTTTGTTTCTAAAGAGGAAACTCTACTGCTTTCTCTACTCCTGGGAAACACAGGAGGAGGGAGGGGAGGTGGAAAGAATTGAGCTGGATTGTGATGTTAGGTATTTTATGGTTGGTTCTGCAGTGAGTGGTGGCACTTCTGCTGCAGATCAGGGAATGACCCAGAAGACACATCATGTGTTGTTTACCGTGGAATCCCAGAATGGTTTGGGTTGGAAGGGGCCTTAAACCTATTTCTCTCCACCCCTTCCATGGGCAGGGACACCTTCCACTAGCCCAGGTTGCTCCAAGCCCTGTCCAGCCTGGCCTTGGACACTTCCAGGCGTTGGAGCCAAGCAGAAAGAAAATGAAGTTTTTTGTTCCTTCTGGAAGAGCTGTCCGCTCTGGGGAGCTGCTGTGGGCTCTCAGGTGTGAATGCTGGGGCTGAGGGCTCAGTGCCTGGTGGAAATAACACCAGGATTTGCTGGGACAGACTACTTGGTGGCAGCTCCAGCTGCTGTGAGTCCAGCAGCTCCCTGTGGCACTGCCATTGCCCTGTGGGGGCCACACGTGTGGCCTTTCCCAGGCCTGTCGGGCTGTGCCACGTTTGCTTTTGCTTGGCTTTATAAAGAGGAGGTGCAGGAGCTTCCTCTGCTCCTTCCCAGACTCTGCCCCCAGCACAGCCTTCGCTATGGATGGCTTGAATGTCTCCATTGCTTTTTTCTTCCTGGTTTTTGGGCTGTGCCAGGTGCTCAGGTGGCTTTCCAAGAGGCTTCTGTCCCCTGGGACACACGGCTGCCTTGCCAGGGAATTTGCTGGCTCGTTCCAGCTGTGCATGAGCTGCCTGGAGCTGAGGATGCTGATGGACATCGGCCCCTGGGGTGGTGGCTTTGGCCTGGACGTGCTCCTGACCCTCCTCTTCCTCCTCTCCGCTGTCCACGGTGCCTCTTTGGACGGAGCATCGGCCAACCCGACCGTGTCCCTGCAGGAGTTCCTGCTCCTCGAGTCCAGCCTGGCAGCCACAGCGGCCAAGCTGCTGGCCCAGGGTGGGGGTGCAGGGACGGGCTGGGCTCTCACCCGGCTCTACTGGTCCTGGGAGCTGAGCCAGCTGCACTTCATCCAGAACCTGATCGCGCCCGAGTGCAGCTCCTCCATCCGCGCCTCCCTGCCCCACGCTGCCTTCGTGGAAGGCTCCTGCTCCTTCCTGTTCCACCTGGTCCTCCTCAAGGTGCGACAGAGTCACCCCCTGTACCGGGTCCCTGCGCTGGCAGCCACTGTCACCTTCCTGACCTATGCAGGTGAGCAGCGCTGGTGTTTCTTCTCCCGAGTTATTTGGAAAAGTACCTCGTTTGTGGGGGAGGAACAGCCCCCTGTGTTTCATCTCCTAGGACTGGAGAGGTAGGGGTTAACAAGGTAATGACTACTACTACAAGGTGTTTGTTTTCTGTTCTTTTGGGGAGTGTTCATTTTGGGATGAAGATGGCAGTTTGGGCTATCTGGGCTCTGCGTGAATTTTGGTTCACAGCCGTAGCTCAAGACTGGTATCACCTCCCTGGAACCTCCCCTACTGCAATCCCTCGGTCCTGCACTGAGCTTTCCTGCTTCCTACAAAGCTCAGGATGACAAGGGTGGGATTTCCCCAGTCTGAGAAGGCAGGCAGGAGGGGTCTCAGCCCTCTGTCGGTGTTCCAGAGGATGCCGTGGGACTGTTGGCCACGTTTCTCTTCCCACACAGCCGGACCGTACACGGGGGCCTTCTTCAACCCTGCCCTGGCCACAGCCACCACCTTCCACTGCTCGGGGAGCAGCTTCTGGGACTACATCCAGGTGTACTGGCTGGGGCCCCTCGCAGGTGAGATCTTCCCAGGGGGCAGGAGCTGGCACGGGGGCAAGGCAGAAGTGCTCAGTGTAACGTGAACTGTTCTGGCAAAGGGCTGAACTTGGGGTTGCCGGTGGCAAGTGTCACTTTTCATCCTGCCTCGTTGACTCTGGGGTCATCTCTTTGCTATCCAATTTTTTAAAATCCAACTTCTGCGTGGTACAAGGGCAGAAATCTCCCTGAAGCCAGAGTCTGGGGGAGGTGTAGCAAAGGTGTTTCAGGGCAATGGCAGGCTGAGCTATGCTTTGAGGCTGTCCCCAGCTCCAGCGTGGTCATGGGGAGCTGGATGTGAGCTGAGACTGGAGCCAGGTGGGGGTCGGGCTCTGCCACCAGGTAACTGATAGGACAAGAGGAAACGGCCTCGAGTTGCCCCAGGGGAGGTTTAGGTTAGGTAATGAGAAAATTTCTTCCCTGAAGGCTGGTCAGGCACTGGCACCCTGCTGAAGGCAGTGGTGGGGACATCATCCCTGCAGGGATTTAAAAACCTGGATGTGGCCCTTGGGTCAGGACCAAGGGTGACCTCGGCAGCACTGAAGGAATGGCTGGGCTCGATGGGCTCAGAGGACTTTTCCAACCTTAATTATTCTCTGCCAGAGAACTGGGGTGGTTTATGGGTCAAAACAAGCATTGTTTATGTTAAGGACAGAGTGGTAAATTCTCCTTAAAGCAGTACAGCAAGGGTCCCTCAGCTCTCAGTGGGGACTTCAGCGGTGCTGAGCTGCCTTTTGGTCATGGTGAGGGTTGTGACAAGGAGCCAAAACCGCTGCTGAGCTGTGGGGAGGGTGGAGATGCTCCACACAGCGCTCGGAAGGGGTCTGTGCTCTCATTCCAGGGATGCTCGCTGCCCTCCTGCTGTTCCAGGGCAACATCCCACGCCTCTTCCAGAAAAACCTCCTCTACAGCCAGAGGAGCAAATACAAGGTGCCCAAGGCAAAGGTGACAGCGCAGGTGGAGGGTGACAAACCACAGAAGAAGAAGAAAGGAGGGAAGAGCAAGTCGGAGCCCAGTGCCTGAGCCCAGGGGTCCTGGCAGCCCTTTTCCTGGGAAAGGGTTTCCCTGTGTGGAGGATTTTGCAGCTCGTTCAGTCCTTAAAGCATCACAAAGGAATCCTCGCAGGATGCCCGAGCCCCTGAGCTCCTTTGGGAATTGCTTCAAAAGCCTCCCTGGAGAGTTCGAAATGTTTCAAGCCCGCACTGCTGCCTCTGAGAGAAAACACGGAACACTTTTGCATAAATTGCTGGTTGTCTTGTACTGCCAGCAATCTTACAGAGAGCTGGGACCGTTCCAGGGGCAGGCTTGAGCAACCCGGGGTTATTGCACCGTGCAATGCCTGCAATAACCCCTCTGGGTCTCCTGCAGCCCTAAAAACCAAGGATAAGCCAGTAACTGCCTTGGACACTTGGGATGGGGGAGGAAGCAGGCTTTGATCTTTTGAGTTACTAATGGAAACTTGTTACAAATTGGTGGGTTTTGAGTTAAACTTGGCCTGAAGTCCTTGAAATGCACAGGCTGAACCTGGCAACTCTTGGAGGGGAATTAAAAGTGCTCCAAGGCAAGAGAGTTCACTGGCCACGGGAGAACCTGCTCCTCTGGGGATGTGCTTAGCCTGGGTTTTGGTGATGTAAAGCATCAAGAAATAGTTTGCAAAGGGTCTGTGATTTGGAAAAAAAACCAAAAAAAACCAAAAAAAACCCACGAGACCCAGGCAGCTGCTGTGCATCCCTGGGTTCTGCTCCATGACTACGTGAAATACTCCTAACTATAAAATTACTGTTTGTGGGGAAAATAAAAGAAAAAAAATGCTGTGGTTGGCATTTGGGTGAGTGATGTCATTCCTGGGAACCCTGCTGGGAGACATCCCTGAAAATGGGAGTCACTGTGGTGCCCAAACCACCTCTGCCCTGCCTGCTGCCTGCTCTGGAAAGAGGGGAAACACCTTCTGGAAATGGGGATCCTCCTGAGCTGTGCTGAGGCCAGGGCACCCCATGGGAGCTGCAGCCTGGGGGACAGCACAGGGAGATTGTGATGCTCTGGCTGTTCCAGTATCTCTGCCCTGGATCAGAGTTCCTGACAGGAATGACTTGCTCCTATTTCCTGAGGTGCAAGCAGGGAATAAGCAAGTGGCACCCAATGAAAACCTGGAGTGGAGGTGTCAGATGCAGGTTTGGTACCCAGTGTCCAGCCCTGCTCCTCCCTCCACTGTGCTGTGTCCATGGGGAGACAACCCCAGGGTGCTTCATGGCCTCTGGGCTGCCCATCCCAGTTGATTTCCTCTGGGATTGCCCTCTGGAGGGACCTGCAGGACCCCCAGACCTCTGACACCATGAGCCCACCCCACATCCCAGCAGGAGAAACAAGGGAAGGGACCGACACAGCCATACACGGGTGTGTCCCAGAGATGAAACTCCATGGAACCCCAAAGCCATGGAGCAGAATTCCCAAACAGTGCCCTCTCCTTGTGCCTGGCTGGATGCTTGGCACTGCCCCAGGAAGGGCACTGGGAGCACAGTCTGGCTTTTCTCCTGGTTAAAGTGAGCAGGAGACATTTGGGTGGAAGCTGAAATCTTTGAGACTCTTTGTTCCTGCCCCAGGGACACCCTGGGATGCTCAGATCCCCCTGGACATTTTTTTCAGAACCTTTTTTTGTTTGGAAATCGTGCTGACAAACCAGAGATTGGCTGTTAATCCCAGCCAATTTGCTGGCTCTGCTTTTGATTCAAGGAGAAGTGCAGGATGAGAAAAGTCAGGCTGAGTTGCCCTCCACAAGCCATTCCTGTGGGATCTTTCCCAGGGCACAGATATTCCTGTGGCAGCTCAGAGTGGTGGGTTGGGGTGTCTGGCTCCTGAGATGTCTCCCTGTCACACAGGAACTTGAGTCTGACACTGCAGAATAGGATGCTGAGCCTATAAATTCAGCATCCAAAGGCAACCTGTAACCACAGAGTCAGCACAAAATAATGCTGGGGGCTCCCTTTTTTCTGTTTTTTTTTGTTTTTTTTGTTTTTGTTTGTTTGGAGTTTTTGAGGGGGTTTTTTAGGTTTTCTGTGGGGTTTTTTGGTTGTTTGTTTTGGGGGCTTCTCTTTTTTTCTTTTTTGGTTGGTTGGGGTTTTTTTGTTTTGTTTTGGTGGTTTTTTTTGGGGTTTCCCCCCCGCTTTTCAGGACATATTAGGACATCTTCAAATATTTGGGGTGTGCTTTTGGGGAGGTCGTCTACTGGGGCAGACTGATGTAATTAAGAGGAATTGAAGGAGTGACAGTGACAGTTGTTATTTTTAATTAAGAGGCTGTTTTTCCAGCATGGCAACATCAACGGAGCAGGGGCGAGGTGCAGCTGCACAGACAGACAGACAGACAGACCCGTTCCCACGCTGTAAATCAACCCCACAGCTCTGTTTACAGCTTGACCCTGTTCTGTCGCAGGGTGCAGGGCTGATATTCGCGCTGCCCTCCTGGACCTGCTCCTCGCTGCTGGAGCCGGTGCTGTCCTGAGGCTCCAGCTGCTCTCTGGGGGGATTTCCTTCCGGAATTCCAAAGTCCTGTCCAGCCCCTGGGACCCCCTCTGCAGCCCGGGCAGCGCCCGGAGCTTGTGCAGGGACGGGAGCAGAGCGGGGCAGGGACGGCGATGCCCGTGCTGCCTCCCAGCCCCGGGAGGGCCGAGCCTCGCTGTCCGGAGCGGATGGAGAAGGATTCCGAGGGTGGCTCAGTTTCCCCGGTGCGGCGGGGCCCGGGCGGCAGCGGGCCGGGGGCTCTCGGGGTGCGGCGGGGGGAACTGCTTCTTGTAGAGCAGGCTGCTGTACTGCAGCTCCGGCGTCACCAGCCGCCGGCAGGTCCGCTCCAGCTCCTGGGGCAAGCCCTGCTTGAGGTTATAGCCCAGGATCCTGGCCCCGCCGTGCTGCAGCGGGCGCAGGGAAGAGTCCTTGATGTCCTTGGGGGCCACGCTGCCCGCGCCCTGCAGGCAGGCCCGGGCCAGCTCGGCCTGCCGCTGCCGCAGCGCCCTCACCTCCCGCCGCATGCGCTCCCGGCCGATGGCGCGGTCGATCCTCTCCCAGAAGGTCCTGTTAAAGTGCGTGTAGATTTCCCAGTCCAGCCTGTTCCAGGCCTTCAGCTTCTCCACCACGGAGTCCGGCAGCGGGGACTTGGTGCTGCTGTCCCTGATGTTGAGCGGGAAGGAGACGACGCTGTCCAGGTCCCAGCACAGCATCTCCTTCAGCAGCACCATGGACTCGTCAAAGTACTCGGAGATGAGCAGAAAGTCGAAGGACGCCTCGATGGCCCTCAGCATGAGCTGCACCCGCTCGGGGGACACGTCTCCGTCGGGGTTGAAGCCGAAGTCGAAGGTCATGAGGTTCCTGGCGTAGTGGCGGTCGCCGCTGGCGGGGTCGTAGTAGCGCCAGGGCTGGCTGAGGAACTCCTGCAGGCTGCGGACGCGCGAGAAGGCCGACGCGCCCTTGTAGTACACGAAGGAGGACTCCATCAGCTGCACGGGGTTCCTCAGGATGGAGAAGTACACGGCAGAGCTGGGCACCACTTTCTGCACCTGCGGAGGAGAAAAAGGAGGGTTTGAGGGTGGGGCAGGGAGAAGGGGCCCGCTCGCCCACAGTGCTGGTGAGCAGAGGCAGCTGCTGGGGCTGGAGTGGGGGGTGCTGGGGAGGATTTCAGGGTGCAGCCCATCAAAGGAGCTGTGGGAAGCTCCAGAAGGGTCACACGGGGAGAGCAGTGAGCCAAGCTCCCCACAGTGCCACAGCTGTGTGGCCGAGCTGGGATGGAGATACTGCCCATCTCCTTCCCTCTCCCCGTGTCCACCTGCCCTGAGGTGGCACCCACAGGGGTGGATGCTGGGCACGGCTGACCTGAGCTGACACACTTTGGTTGTTCTCCTCTTGCAGCTGGTCCCCTCTGGGCCTGTCCAAGGAGCAGGACATGCTCAGGCCCAGGGCCCACCAGACAAGAAGGAGATGAGAGTTGCTGGCTGCTACAAATGCTGTCTCCCACTTTGCCATGGCTCACTCATCAAACCTGCTCATGGAATCTCTCAGGAGGTGCCAGCAACATGCCAGATACCCGTGGGCAATCCTGACTCTCTTTAGTTCATTTCTGCAGTTTATTTGCTCGACAGGTGCCCCTCCCTGTGCCCCATGAGCCCCTCTCCCACTTCCCTGCCCGTGCCCCCGAAGGGTGGCAGCTTTGCCCGTACCTCTGGCTGCAGGAACCGCATGTGGTGGCAGAGGATGTTGAAGCGCCGGGGGCTCAGAGGGGAGAAGCCCTGCACGAACCTGGCCAGGAAGTGGTGGGGGTAGTAGAGCTGGAAGCCCCCGCCCTGGGGGAAGGCAAAGGTGAGGTTGTGCGTCTCCCCGAAGCGGAACAGGATGTTCATGACGGTGCTGCTGGCGCTCTTGTGGACTTTCAGGAAAACAATGTCAGTCTTGGGCTTGCACGTCTTCCCTTGAGAGGTGGCTCCTCTGGCCTGCTGGCCTTCTCCAGCTATTACCTCCTTGACCTCAAAGGCTTCTGTCCAGCTTGGGAGAAATCCTGTCTCCAGGTCTGTTTTGTAAGAATCCTCTGCCTGCAGAGGTTGAGCTGAGTTTGGGACAGGCTGTGTAAATGAGATGCCCCACTCAGGGTGGGGAGAATCCACAGGTCGAGGCTGAGTCTGGCTCTGCACCTCCACCTGCACCATTCCAGGTGGGGACATTCCCCTCTGCTCCCCTGTGCTCAGCCTGTTTGCAAAGATGATGAACTTGCTGGTGACGGCTTCTGACAAATCTACGGCGACCCTCCCGGGAAGGCTTGGAGAAGGACTTTCTCTGGCTGCTTTTTCCAGGCCAGGAAGCTGGGGTTTCAGCTCTGTGGGTGACAGAGGGGCTCTCACCTCGCTGGTGTCCCCAGGCTGCTGCATCCAGCGCTCCTCTTGGCTGCTTCCCGGGGGGGTCTCCTGTCTGAGGTACAGATGCATCCCGAAAACGTCCTCGGTCGAAGCGGGGGCTGGCTCAGCTTCCCTCTGCCCCTGAGGGGAGTCCTCCTCCCACAGCAGGTCGGGGCTGTGGAGGGCAGAGCCGAGCTCGTGGCCCGTGGTCTGCTGCAGGCCACGCTCCAGCTCACACTGGCAGCTCCTGTGATGGGGAGGACACAATGCTCAGCTGCAGGAGGTGGGAGGACAATGCAGAGGCAGCTCCTCTGCAGCCCAGTGAACCCCCTGACCCCCCAAAGTCACCCCAAAACACATTCCCTCCTTTTCGTGGGGTGGGTGGCATTGCTGATGGGCTTCCCTGCTGCCCTGAGGGGCGGGGGGGGGATGCAAGAACTTGGGCTTGATCATCTTGGAGGTGCTTTACAACTTAGTGATTCTATGAAGAGGAGAAGGACAGGTCAGCAGCGATGTGGCAGTGTCTCTGTCTTGCTGGAGCATGACAGGACAGTGGAAGGGGCAGAGCAAGAGGAGGCAAGGAGAGAGAAGAGCTGGTGGTCTGGAGAATGATTGCAGGAATGATTGCAAATAACCCCAGGCTGGGAGGACTGGGCTCAAGGGCTGTAGGTTTTGATGTGAGACAGGACAAAGCCCAAAGCAGCCTTGTCTGACCCCAGGGTGGGCTCAGCTCTGGCCAGGGCATAGGGGTGAGATGTGGGACCCCAAGAGGGCCCTCTCTCACCTGGATTTTCTTGCCTGTCTAAGGAAGCCCCTGCTGG